TGCAGGATAAAGTTTAGCTTGTCCATTGCCCAAATCAAATGATTCATCTCGTGCATTCTTCAAGTGAACGGCGTTAAAAAACGTCGGCATAATTGTATATCGTATATTTTTATTTTTCTTAAGTTTTCTTATTATTAGAAGACGTGTCACCCACGCATCGATATGCTGTTTTACAAAAAAAGACATATATTAGTGACTTACATAAATTTTAAAAAAAATTAATCAAATTGAAATATAAGAAAAATATAAGACTTACCCCCCCCCCATCGAAATAGCCATTGTCTTCGACCCCTAATAATACGTCCCACCAAGACCGATCAAGCAACAAATTGATATCATCGGTGAGCTTGCATATGTCAGTGAAACACCCCTGGCTCCGCTCATGTAGATAAAAATCAACAGCGGTCTTAGCCCAAAGGGTGTTATCCAGAATTGTGTCCGGTAGTTGTTCCCTCTCCTCTTCAGATACCGGTATGGTACTGGCCGGTAACTCATACGAGAGCCAACTTGAATCCATCATGTCCGGCACGTCAGAGGGTTTCTCAAGAAGCCTACATATGACGCCATGTGAATCGGGCTCTTGAATGGTGGGAGGGACCTCTTCAATGATGACAGTGGCCTCTTGAACGGTGGGAGGGGACTCTCGAGGAATGATAGGGGGGCCTCTTCAATGATAGGAGTGGACTCTTGAGGGATGACAGGCGAGTCGGGCTTCTTCTTGCGGTGTCTTCGCACTATTGGGGTGTACGGAGACTTAATAGCACGTGCACGCTGTCTGATGCGTGAACTCCGTCGTGCAAGCATAACCCGACGTAAAGCATCCACTCTATCGGGCCGCTAAATAATTAAATACAAAAATCAGTAAATAAACAAACATGATATTTAAACAGTGAAAACAAAGACAAATATGTTTCAAACTTGCATTGTATTCACCCAAGTCATTATTCTATCATAGTTCACAAAATGCATCAGATAACAAAGAAAAATATGTTTCAAACTAATACCCTGAAGTTAGTATTTGTCTTTGTTTTGTCTATTGGTTGAAGTAATGCAATCCATTCAAGTTTCAATTTGCAGAAGAAGAAATAGTTTACTTTCGCAACACGAAACTTAAAATCACAACGCGAAATGATAATCGCAACGAGAAACCAAAATCGCAACGCGAAACCAAAATCGCAACGACAGAATCGCAATGCGAAATGAAAATCGCAACGAAAGAATCGCAACGCGAAATGAAAATCGCAATGCGATTTTGGTTTCGCGTTGCGATCTTGTCGTTGCGATTTTGGTTTCGCGTTGCGATTCTGTCGTTGCGATTTTCATTTCGCGTTGCGATTTTGGTTTCGCGTTGCGATTTTAAGTTTCGTGTTGCGAAAGTAAACTATTTCTTCTTCTGCAAATTGAAACTTGAATGGATTGCATTACTTCAACCAAAAGACAAAACAAAGACAAATACTATTTCACAGTGTTAAAGAATACACAGTTTAGCAGAATTGGCAGCAACCGAACAAATTTACTTTCAACCAAAAGACAAAACAAAGACAAATACTATTTCACAGTGTTAAAGAATACACAGTTTAGCAGAATTGGCAGCAACCGAACAAATTTACTTTCAACCAAAAGACAAAACAAAGACAAATACTATTTCACAGTGTTAAAGAATACACAGTTTAGCAGAATTGGCAGCAACCGAACAAATTTACTTTCAACCAAAAGACAAAACAAAGACAAATACTATTTCACAGTGTTAAAGAATACACAGTTTAGCAGAATTGGCAGCAACCGAATAAATTTACTAAGCAATCTAAGTGAAATGGCTAATCTAAGTGAAATTACGAGTAAATTTATCATTAAGTTAAATATGGAAAATCTTAAACTTACCTCGTTGCGTAGAGTATGAACCTCATTCTGCAACGATACTATCATCTCACGTAGAGCGGCAACCTCACCACGTAAAGTTGACACCTCCACACGCCATGCACCATCATTATCGCGTAGAGTACCGATCTCCTCACGCATGGCATTGACCTCATCACGTAACTCCCTTGACTCATCCCGTGGAGGTGGAGAACAGGGAGATAGGAGTCGTGGCATCTTTGCCGGTCGCCTATCATGAGGTGATGGTGGAGAAGAGGCTCGATGATGTGACGGGATAGGTGATGGCTCTCGTTCTAGAGGTGTATAGTCGGGTCGATCGGGTGATGGCTCTAGGTGAGGTGATGGCTCTCGAATTGGAGGAAGTGGAAGCTGCTCATCATCCGTGCCATCAAAAAAACTCTGACTAGCTTGCCACCAATCAGTGGCAAGCTCTTCCTCCGTGGGTGTCAGTCTTTGTAATGGAATGTTGGCCTCCTAAAATATAAAAACTCAAACAAAGTTAAACGTCTACTATTAATAACTTGTTTATATATTATATGAAAGTATTTGTGTTAACTTACATTATTTATTGTCGCATATGGTATTAAGTCTTCCCAATCCAACAGAGTTTTCCTCTTCCAGGAAATAGCCCTGGGAATATCATTTGACGTTTTTATTGCATATGTACGCATGCTGGGGAAAGCCTCGAATATCCAAATCTACAAACAATATAATAACAAAATTAGTAATTGTTAAATAATTAATTATAATTTTAGAAACATTATATAGAAATTCTTACCTTAAAGGCCCAAACAAAGCCTGACAAAGTGTATTTCGACCCATCGCCACGCAAACTTTTGCGGTCATCAAAGGCAGTAGACAATTTAGTCCAGGTAGCTTTCCATATATACGAACCCCACGAAAACAGATTCCATGCATTCAGGTCCTCTACCAATATTATTAGCTCCCGAGGAATAGGTTGTCTGGCCTCTCTGCCTAAAAAGCCGGCATACACAAGTAGTAGAAGGCATACTCGGACAACATCGACGTCATCCATCCGAGTGAAACCAGCTTTCTTATTAAACAATTTCTTCAGGTCGTCGACGTGTAGGTTCGGCTTCTCCATTGACTCATCCGGAAAAACCCGGGATAACCATGATGGGCGGGCGATATGACGAGTGTACCGGCCTACATCATCGTGTCCGAATCGTAGACCAGTGATTAAGCAGAACTCCTTCCGCCCAAAACAAGTATACGCTGGTGGAAAATGAAACCATATCTCTTCCTCACCACGTTGTATACTGTCGGGTAGATTTGATGTCATGGTCTGAAGCCACAAATGGGTCAAATTAGCATCTCCACCCGGATGCTGTACTCTCAGCCATGGCCCGAAGCAGGTTTCCTCAAACAATTGTCTTTGAGCAGGTGAAAGCTTCGAAGCAATTGTAGTGGCTAGGCTAACTTTATTCCTTAATGTCAATGAAGCCGAAAAAAATTTCTACAAAAACAATAAACATACCAAGTTAGATATACCAAAAACTACACTGTGAAGATATACCAAAAACAATAAACATAAAAAGTAGTAGTTTATTCTTGAAACTAAAATTTGCAACACTGTTTTGTCTTTTGGTTGAAATGAAAATCGCAACGAGAGAATGACTGTCGCAACGAGAGAAATGAAAATCGCAACGAGAGAATCGCAACGCGAAATGAAAATCGCAACGAGAGAATCGCAACGCGAAATGAAAATCGCAACGAGAGAATCGCAACGCGAAATGAAAATCGCAACGAGAGAATCGCAACGCGAAATGAAAATCGCAATGCGATTTTGGTTTCGCGTTGTGATTCTCTCGTTGCGATTTTCATTTCTCTCGTTGCGACAGTCATTCTCTCGTTGCGATTTTCATTTATCTCGTTGCGACTCTTCTGCAAATTGAAACTTGAATGGATTGCATTACTTCAACCAAAAGACAGAACAAAGACAAAGACAAATACTAACTTGAAAATCGCAACGAGAGAATAGCAACGCGAAATGAAAATCGCAACGACAGAATCGTAACGCGAAATGAAATCTAAGTGAAATGGTTAATCTATTATTGAAATGACCAGTAAACTTATCATCAGTTTCAATATGAAAAACCTACAATAATGCAAACATTTCAAAATAAAAATAATTAAAAAAACTAACCCTCGGAGGTTGATTTTCCATTTCTGAATATTGTGAGGGATTTCTGACCGTGAATGGTTGTGAGGGATTTCGCCGGAGATGGGGACGGAAATCTTCGGAGATGGGGACGGATTTCTTCGCCGTAGAGAGTGAGAGATGGAGATGGGACTGAGTTGTGATTTTAGGTTTTAGGTTATGAGTTGCGATTACGGGATTTTGTCTTAATATTCGTTTTTGTAATTTGAAAATAAAATACGCGTAGCGATTATAATGGCGCTTTAAATATCGCGTTGCGATTTACGGATACGCGTTGTGATTTTATGTATTATCGTTGCGATTTACGGATACGCGTTGCGATATACAGATACGCATTGCGATTTACCCATACGCGTTGCGATTTACGGATACACGTTGCGATTTACGGATACGCGTTGCGATTTATGTGTTCGCGTTGCGATTTTCATATTCGCGTTGCGATTTTGGAAAATCGCAATGCGAATTTGTACTATCGCATTGCGATTTTCAAGAATCGCGTTGCGATTTTGGAAACTGATTTGCGATTCTGGGGATCGCGTTGCGATTTTTATTTCGCGTTGCGATTTTGTTGGTCATTTTGGCAAATTCAAAAAAAGTTGGTTAAAATCGTATATTATAAGACATTTTTGGTCACTGAGGCGATTTTCTCATATTTTTATCCTTACGTATACAAGTTAATTGATATTGTCAAAAGTTTTTTTTTATTATGATTTTTCTTTCTATTATTTATTTGTTATCATTTGAGGTATTGGCCATAGATTAAACAAGTAAACAAATTGAAGTTTTTGTTATTTAGTAATTTTAGAATTTAAACCTTTAAAATTTTCTTAACTAGCTGGGCTAGATCCGAAATGACCGTGGGACAAACTCGGGAAATTCAACTTAAAACTTGAGCAAATTGGGTAATTTACTTATTTTCTTCTTACTGCTTACAGTTACGCTTTAGTCGATGCTCCAAACTAGACTTTTGCGCGCAGCAAATACCGTTAAAACTTTACCCTTCAAATAAAGGGAAGTTTCCAGCTATGTCGCATGTTTTAATTTTTCTCCATCGAAATGTTTCTGAACCCTAGGGTTTCCCCAAATTATCTCTAGTTTCTTTCCAATTTTGAAATCGTATAGAAGAGATTTTTGGCAAGAACAAACGCCAGTTTAAGCCGGTTAGCTGATTGTGTCCTTCTGCGAGGCGTGTTCGATTCTTTCAAACGATCTCCGCTTCTCATCGATCTGTTGCTCTTAATCTCTTGACTCTCCCGGTTATGGATCCTTCAAGAGGTTTTCTTAAACCCTAATTCTGTGTTTTCATTTTTTATATCTCCATTTGCTTCGAAAGGGAACAGGATCCTTCTATATGTTAAAACCCTTTTTTTTAGTTTCAGTATTAAATGTTTGATATTTTATTTTATTTCTTTGGAATGGGCAGTAGGATCGAGGTCTTTGAGAATTAGGTTTTGGGAATGTCTATGGTATTTGATGTAATTGATCTCACCAGCTTAGAAGAGACATTAGACACTAAGAACATTTGAGGTTCTTGTTACTGAAATGAAGTCTGATGTATCACCACAGCTAGCCGATCTATAACTGAAACTCTTGGGTTGCCGCTTTCAAATCCAAACGACTTTTTCTACGCTGTAAAAGTGAATAGCATAGCAAAATGCAAGATAAATGAAAAAGCTTCCTCGGTATTATTTGAGTTGTCCAGAGCTTTTAACTTTGTTCAACTCTGGCGCTTAAAATTCTGATTCCCTTTTAACTTCACAAAAGGGCATTACTTCAGCTGCCGTCAGTGGTGCAAATTCATTGATTGACAGTTTACTTCTACTATTTGGTAGGAGGTTTTGTAGCCTCAAGGTAATGAATGAAAGTTGGGTACTGGTTATCATGATGCATTTTCGTTTCTATGCATTGAATTTGTGCGTCATTTGGATGCACGGTGACGGTGGGAAGGCATTCCTAGCTCTCTGAACTGTCGGTTTGTCAGTGGACCCATAAAGGTCCAATGCCATTTTGAGGCTTCGGCTCTGGAGTCTGGAATCTTTTCTCACCATTCATCTGAATGAATTATTAATCAAATTTACGAGTTTCTAGATGATTTATATAGTAATAACTTTGCTTCTGTTTATTATGTCGATCAAAAGAGCTTATTTTCCCAGCTTCTCACCGTGCTTTAGTTTGTTTATGGTCTTACTCTTGCATTTTACATATATATGGGATAGATTTAGCCGGACAAAACTCTCTATTGTTAGCAGCAAACTACCTCCTTAAGCTTCGTTGCCAAATTACTACTCCTTGTGGATGTGCTTTTCAGCCCATCAGGTCCACACATTTACATGTCTTCATTTACAATAAATGACATTCTTTGAAGCAGTTTGTTGCTCAGTTTGGTACCTTGCATGCATTGATGTTAAGCACATCTTTGTAGTTGGAAACTTTGAAAAACGGTTTGAGATAGTTTCAGTTAAGTACCCTTTCTTCATAGGTTGAGTATCATTCTAGGGGTTATGACTGATTAAAATGTTATTAGTATTTAGTATCATTTTATATTTTTCTTATTTCTTATGTAACATGATACGAATCTTTCCATTTGGAAACAAGAAGATATCTATAGCTTTATTCTATTATTAGGATCTTTTCACAAATTAAAGTTTTCTTCAAGCAGGCTCAGCTTATGCTGCACTTATTTGAAGATTTGACACTATGTCAGATGAACATTCAGCTTTATGCTCTTCACAGAAGTATTTGTTCTTTAAGAATTGACACTATTAGTCAGTCCTATTTTGCTTGTCTTGTAGGATGTTTTTGGGCTGGTTGAGAAATAAATATATGATTCCATCTCTCGGGCAGATATGACATCAAGCTCACTTCATGGTGCTATTATGGAAAATATTGTTTTTGCTCTTAGAAAAATTCCGTATGAGCTCATGAAAATGTTGGAATAATATGTCCATCTTTTGTATTCTTTGGGGTAACTTTTAGTATGAGCTGCTGTACATATTGAGTTAAATCTACTTGAACCATATGAGAAGACACCCTCCCCTCCTCTGCAGCCTGTCGATCCTTACTGAAGATATGGGTTGAAAGCAGAAACAACACAAATCTTTAGGGCTCCTGAAAAACTTTCAGAGAAGGAGCTTTCTCTGGCTTTCTTGGTTCTTACCATCATGTCATTACGTGGATACTTGATTGGGGTTAGTCTTGCATATGTTGCTGCTTTTCATATTTTCACTCAACCAAAAAGTTACTGATATCTGTATTTCTAATTATTTATTTACTAAAATCTTTAATGCTTGATCATATTGTTTGATATCATCTGGTTCTGGTTAAAAACTCAAGGCTGGTGTTACCCTAAATTAGTTGACAACTCTGTGACTGTGTTCTCATAACTAATATTTTCTGTGTGTATGTACTTTGCGTTCTTGACAGCAATTTTCTTGGGGGAGGGAGTTATTGGGTGACCCGTGGTTTGAAACAAGGATTTATTAGGCTGGAAAAAAGAAGTCTTAACAGCAAGGTTTTGAGGCTATTAAGCTCTTTGGTGTTTGGCCCGAGTAGGAAAAAGCTTTTGGGTTCAGTAGCATTCTTGGAGCTTGTTAAGTGATCTTGACAGTAGGAGTTTGGCATTTTTAATTTGTAGTCTTGCTGTTAAGGACCGGTTTGCACATTGAAAAAATAATTTAAACTGTTTGTAGCGATTGAGGCAGAAAGGATGAAGAAAATAGAAGAAGAAGTAGAATGTGAAGAAAATACTCATATATTTCTCATTAAAGGAAAAACAGTACATCAGCAAATCTATATATATTATTTATGCATGGTACTATCTAACAAACTCCACCGTTGAGAGTAACTGATCCATCACTATCAGCAATTCGGTCTTCAGGTATTATCCAGCCCACTATTTCATATCTTCTGTTGGCCCAGTTCACTAACTCCACTTACATTCTCTTGGCCCAGATTATCTCTATTCTAGTCTGTTCCCACAACGCATGCCTGGTTGTCGTTTCACCCTTTGACCTTGCCATCTTCATTGACTACCCTTTCCCCTCGTGATACCCCCAATTCTTCCAATCCCTAATTTCTTCCCTCTTTCTTTCCAAATCCCTAATTCCCCTTCCAAGTTCATGACACTGTTTCTGGATAATACTTGCTTTTATGCATGCATATGTTAAATATATGACCAAATACTTGAAACTTGTAAATTATTGAAAGTAGCCAAACAATTAAGGTGTTATAATACTTTTCTCTCATTAAAATTGTTAAAACTTTAAATGTTTAAAACAAAAATCTAAAGAGAATATACTTTCTAGTTTATTTTGTTAATTTTAACTGTAATGAACCCTGTGATAACCACTTATTGACAGTTTTCTTTGAAAAAGAAATAGCTTGCCTTGTCTAATTCGTAAAACTTCTCTTGCACAAGAACTGAATCAACTGGGTTAATGAATTAATATCAAATAGTACGATTGGGATGGAGAATGTTTAGGTTTATGACACTGGTGCAGCTGCCACCTAGTGATACCTCAAAATATTAGAAAGATCGTAATTTTGATGCTGCTGCTACAACATTCATCAGTTTTAAATTTATCTTTGATCTTGGTTTACCTAGGAACTATAGGGGGAAAACGTATTTGCTTGCAAATCTATGAAAGAGAAAAACTTCTTTATATGGTCTCATACTAATTGGCTGATCTATCTTGTGGCCTAGAGTTTTAGGCTGATGAAATTTATCACATGATAAACCAGTTGAACCGAGTCACATGATTATTTGGTCAACATTAACGAGATGAACTTGCTATAGGAAATTAATGCAGAGAAAGTCATTGATGCTATTAACGGACTGTATTTTATTCAATGAAACATGATGCTTACACGGTAAATAAGATTTGGGCAACCATGAATTCTCAACATGCTGACAGCTCAGATTTCATACTTAACCGTTTGCCAGCCCTTCTTTTTAGATTTCCATATTTTCAAATATGATGATTACATTCTCATGAACTAGATCTTATCTCTTCACATTCTTAGCCGTTCATCAGATAGAAGATATATAGAAACAAGAAGATTTTTTTCCTTCTACCAAAATGCAGGTTTGATATCGCCTGTGGGTAAGTAACTAGCATGTGTATATTCTTTTACTCCATTTAGATTGATGCTTTTGACTTTTGGAGTTTACGTCATATGACCTCTGATTTAACTGAAGATATTGGATAAGTTAATATCATGGGAGACCATGATTCTATTACTTCTTTACGTCTGTAAATTCTTCTCATTGATTGGGTTCACAAGTATCACCATCCTTGGGATATGATGTTACATCTGCTATATTTTGTGTATCTGATATAGTTCCATCAACTATATTGTCAAACAAACTTGGGGTCTGAGTCTTGTGATGCCCGTACAGATATGACTTCTAGTGGGCTTATATGGAGAGATTGGATCCTTTCTTTTTGGGGGTCCATGATGTTGTAGACTTTTGTGTGTGTGTGGTGGGGGGGGGGGTTCATCAATAACCGGTAGGAGTTTGTCATATTTGCATAAAGCTCACAAAAATGTGATAAGATTTGTGGAAAAACATTAATGCTATTAGAATATGGTATTTTTGTTTATGCCATAAGCCGGAAAAACTTTCATCAGGTGGATGTCTTGAGTAATTTTTTGGTTCAATGTCGTAGCTCATCAATATCCTGTTTACCCATCTCTTCTACTATAGCCTTAGGTTTCGTCAGCATTATCTATTGCATATACTTATTATTTTATGTAAGTTGTTTTCAAGTTGGTTGTTTGGATGCCCAAATTGAATATGCATATATGCTTCTGATGGTGAGAACAGTGATACATATGGGCAGCTGTTGAATATTGTGAATTGTTAATTTATTTCTCTAGTATCAAAACTGGTTTCATATTTTTAAGACTGCTCATAGATTATATGTGTATCTGAGAAAACTCTCCAATGGTACGGATTTTTAGTTACCTTGAATTCTGTTGTAGAACATTATAATTACGATTTTATTTGGAATTGAATTGTTCAAACGATATTAAAGGTAAAGTGGCCAAAAAGTACGATTAGATAAGCATATCCAGGCAGCTTCTTCTACCTACCAAATTTTGAACGCTTTTATACTATAGAAAACAATGATGCTCTTGGTAGTTTTCATCCATATGGGCTCATCAGTCATCTGGATGCTGATAACCAAGCACACCCACCCTGTCTAAAACCTTTCTGGCCAACCCAGGGTGCTGGTGTCTCCTTCCCGGCCATGCAACCATGAATTCTCAACATCATTTAATGCTAGCTGACAGCTCAGTTTTCGTACTTGAAAACAGTTTGCAAGCCCTTCTTTTTACATTTCTATATTTTCAACGATAAGGATTATATTCTCGTGAACTAGATCCTATTTCTTCACATTCTTAGCCGTTCATCAGATAGAAGATATAGAGAAACCAGAAGATTTTTTCCTTCTACCAAAATGCAGGTATGATATGGCCTATGGGTAAGTAACTAGCATGTGTATATTCCTTTACTCCATTTAGATTGGTGCTTTTGAATTTTAGAGCTTTAGTACTGTATAATGGAGAACTTATCCTTTTTGCAATAAGTACAATTTTTAAATTTTCTTAAGTGATTACTTAGGAAAATATCAGGTAAATTAAAAAGAGAATTATTGTCAATGTATCAAAAAGAAACTCTTAAATTTATATTGATCAAATAAACATGGTTACGAAATAAGTCGTCATTGTGATGTAATGTTTTCATAACTTCTCCTGACCTCTTTAATTTATTAGGGGCAACCAAATTAGGTAATACATTAAAGTGTGATATAAAATACAATTCTGCACATGGTATGATATGCAATATATAATAAAGATCTCATCCAGTAGGGTATGGGAATCTCTGTACTTTTTAACATAATTGTTGGAAGGAATACGCTTACTGCAAGTATTAAATAAAAGAGAATGAAATCCTTTACACTTAAACACGAATCTTATAAATATATCAATATAATTCCATTTGAGGTTAAATGATAATTTTGGAAGCTTCTTCAAGTCTACACACATATATATACACAGTATATATAGTGAAAATCCAAGTAATCCGTGAATCCCAAATCTCTTATTTAAATGCAGCCCACACAAGAAAATTCGCTGTTTAATATTTAGGAATATCTTTGATGTTAGTGGCATACATGTTTCTATCTCTTGTATGATTATAATTTTATGTATTCCATTGCTAATAATAGTAATAAGAACAATAATTATAAAAGTTGATCTGTTTTTTTAATAATTATTCTCTGTTGTTAGGAAAAAGCTTGGACTAACCTAGTTTAGTTACGCGGTTAAGTTTTGTTAAAGTTTGTTTAAAGGATTTTCTATTAGATCTTTATATTGTTTTGTTGCGGATGGAGTTATTGCGATAAGGTGGTGAATCAGCAGTTGTGTGGGTTGGGCAGGGCCATTGTTGACTTGTATTCACGGGCTGGGAATATGGAACTTTTGTCGACAGTACTGTGTTCCTTTTAAGCTTACATGTAATTAGGGTGTTTTCTTATTGAGTCGTGCTCAAGCAGTAAGAAGCTTGAGTCTGACAGTTTGAGCACGACTCGAAATTGAATCTTGATCGAGTATTAAGTTTTACTTTTAAAATTTAAGTTCGACCCAAAATTAGGGTGTAATCATATTGAGTTGTGCTCAAGAAATCAAAGCTTAAGCTTAAAAGGTCAAGCATAACTTGAAATTCGAATCTTGATTAAGTATTAAGTTTTACTTTTACAAATTGAGTTCGACTTGAAATTAGGGTTTCATCATTTTGAGTCGTGCTCAACCTGAAAATGACCGCTGTGTAGGTTTGGGTATGAATCATATGATTAATATAGGTAACCCTAGTTAATTAGGGACATAAGGTGGCTTATCAATTACTCTTATTAATAATTCCATTGAAAATCTTAATGAATATTCAATGAAAACTAGGCTACGCTTTGCAGCAGCTTGTTCAAACACTCGATAGTTTTTTTTTTCTTAATCAATTTATTGGGTTGATTATAGGTTGGTTCATAGGAATTAGGAGCTACCTGCCAAAATAATCATAATTGATGTGGTAGAAGAAAAGGGGTAAATTTGAATATAGAATCTAAAATGATTTGGGTTTTGGATTAGGGTTTTTGTGTGGATCCCAGAGTTTAAATCCAAGGAGCAATCAAAGACTCGAAGATGTTATAATTAGCTTAGGTAGATCTGATTGATGGCTTCCCTTAATTGCAGATGCATGCTTCTTTAGTTTTAATAATTATGGGGGACGGTAGGCCATAGCTTAACATTATATACATATGGAATCTCGGATTGATTGATAGATACATCATGTGAAAAAACTTGTTATTTTGTCAATATATGGACAGCAAAGCAGCTCAAGATAGAGACGCGTCTTCTTTGTCTCAATGTCTTTTCACAACATCTAAAATTAAGCAAATGTAGATGCTTTATATGATGTGGTATAATAACTTTTCCTGTAAATAAGCACAGTTTCTGTTCTAATTGATTTATATTTGCAAGTAGTATAAGAAAATCTGGAATGCATGCATCTGTTAAGTATATGTTTGTGATTAATTCAGTTTCATCTACTTTGGCGTGATTCTTGAGCCTTTCTTGTCATGAATTACTCGGGAAACAAACCAGCATATTTCGCTATACATCAGTGCTTGAGCACCAAAATTATAGATCAGTTGGTTACAAAACTAAGTTAAAT